TGGGCAGGGAATGCCAGCCTGCCTCAGAGCGCACCTCAGCCAGGGCTGCCGGCAGCTTCCCCATGGCCCCTTAGGAGCCCAGCAATGATCTGACAGCAGCACTCCTTAACTGCCCATTGCCGATCACCGGCAGCAGTGCTGAGTAGAGGAGTATCAGATGTATTCACGCTCAAGATCAGCGTCCAGATGCCAAGCAACAATTCTCTCATTATTTCTTCTATTCTTTCCTATTGCACTAAAACTATTACAATAAATTGCTTGAAATATAATTGTCTGTAGTAAACCCCATAGATTTAGGAAAAGCACCATGGAGAATATGAACAATAGGAATGCTGAAACAGCAAAAGAAAATTCCTGTTTTTCTGTCCTCCACCCCCTAACCTACCCCTGTAACCCTATAAGGCAACGTCATGTTAACCCCTTACCCATTGGTCAAGCTTGGATCCTTTCCAACCCTATAAAAGAAGCATACTGTACCCCATTAGGGGAGAAAGAAGAAGAGCAGAGACCCTTCACGGACCTCCCCAAATAAAGCCATCTCCGTGGAACAGCCTGCGCCTTCTCCTTCTCCTCTCTCTCCGTCTGCTGCAGCCTCCAGCCCAGGGCTCCACTACCTAGCAAGCAGAGCTGAAATCCTGAGAGCTTGCAATCACTATAGAGCTGATAATCACCATGCTTGCTAGATGGTAGCCCTGCGGCCTTGGCATGAGCGAGCCAGCTTCGGGCACCCGGTCCCTACCCAGGGACTGAGCTCCTGAGCCCTAGTGCTCTGCTTTATGATAAGGCCAAATAAGAGGCTTTATTAATTGTCCTTTTCCACTAGGGAGGACCAAGCATCCTCATTTGAATGATTTAAAAAATTTTCTTTCAAATGCCTTTTTTATGCAACTTGTTTCAAAAACCTCAACACATTAACATTCAGATTTTCCTCCAAAAGCATCAGTGGGATTTGAGATTACCATGGGGAATCGTGGGGGCTCAAAGGTAGCAATGAGATGAAGAAAACCCTTCAAAGGACACAAATAATGTAAAACAAACAACCTTGAGGAAAGGAAATGGCTTCATCCTGTGCTTCAGAGTAATGGACCCCCTTTCTTAAACTCTTTCCCCTCATTTCTGGTTATAATCCTTTTCCTGGCTGTCTTAATTACATGAGTGTGCAGAAATCTCCAAGAGGCTACAAAGGCACCTTTAGAGGCCATTTAGAAACCTCCTGCTCCAAACCAGCCTCAGGCAGGGTGGGATGCTCAGATGGGATTTGAGTATCTCCAAAGGTGGAGACTCCACAGCCTCTCTGGAGAACCTGTGCCTGTGGCTCACCAACCTCACAACAAAAACTAAAAGAGATCACCCCATGTTTGAGAAAACAGCCAAGCTCAGGTGAGCTTTCACCTGCAGAGCCAAACCTGCAGCACAGCCCCACTTTTGGACAGCTCATGAGAGAACTCCCAGCTCCCCACTCCCAGCCCAGCCAAAGGACAATTTGCTGCCCACAAGGCAGATCCCATCTCTGTTATCACCAGCTCTTCTCCTCCCCCAGAGAGGAGGCCAAAATCAGAGTGTGTTCAATGAACTGAACAACACCAGTTTCCAAAATCAGTGTGTTGAATGAACAGAACAACACCAGTTTCCAAAATCAGAGTGTGTTCAATGAACTGAACAACACCAGTTTCCAAAATCAGTGTGTTGAATGAACTGAACACCAGTTTCCAAAATCAGAGTGTGTTGAATGAACCAAACAACACCATTTCCCAAAATCAGAGTGTGTTGAATGAACTGAACACCAGTTTCCAAAATCAGTGTGTGTACTGAATGAACCAAACAACACCAGTTTCCAAAATCAGAGTGTATTGAATGAACAACACCAGTTTCCAAAATCAGAGTGTATTGAATGAACAACACCAGTTTCCAAAATCAGAGTGTGTGTTGAATTAACTGAACAGCACCATTTTCCAAAATCAGAGTGTGTTGAATGAACCAAACAACACCATTTCCCAAAATCAGAGTGTGTTGAATGAACTGAACACCAGTTTCCAAATCAGTGTGTTGAATGAACCAAACAACACCAGTTTCCCAAATCAGAGGTGTATTGAACCAAACAACACCAGTTTCCAAAATCAGAGTGTGTTGAATGAACCAAACAACACCATTTCCCAAAATCAGAGTGTGTTGAATGAACCAAACACCATTTCCCAAAATCAGAGTGTGTTGAATGAACCAAACACCAGTTTCCAAAATCAGAGTGTGTTGAATGAACTGAACACCATTTCCCAAAATCAGAGTGTGTTGAATGAACTGAACACCAGTTTCCAAAATCAGAGTGTGTTGAATGAACCAAACAACACCATTTCCCAAAATCAGAGTGTGTTGAATGAACTGAACACCAGTTTCCAAAATCAGAGTGTGTTGAATGAACCAAACACCATTTCCCAAAATCAGAGTGTGTTGAATGAACTGAACACCATTTCCCAAAATCAGAGTGTGTTGAATGAACTGAACACCATTTCCCAAAATCAGAGTGTGTTGCATGAGCTAAGCAGGACAATATTTCCATGCTGGGAACTCCATGGCTGGAGAGTGACCACGAGTGGCACAATTGAGGGGCAGCCTGAGGTGAAGGCACAGCTGAGGTTCTTGGGAGGTTCCTGCCCCTCTCCAGGGCTGCCATGAACTCAGCAGCCTGCAGCTCCCAGATAACAAATTTGCTATCTGGGACTCTTGCTGGGCAAGAAAAAGCAGGACTGCTCTTGGGATGCAAATCACACTCCTGGGCTCCATGTTGAACTGAAGGCTTGCCAGATGCACACATTGCAGGAACTTCTCCTATATCTTAGGAATCAACACATATCTGATGCACAGGCTGTTGCAAATCCAACAGCTCCAGTGCCAGAGGAGTAAAATCACCAGTAAACTGCATAAAACATGCTGGCATAGCTCACCAGCATAGAAATCAGCTCAAAAACCAAAACCAAATGTTTCCAGAGAGAATTTAAAGGAACAAGGAACCCATCTATTTCCTGTGGCCTACAGGCCCATCACTCTTTCCTCTGAAATTTCAAACCTATTTTTATCTTATCCTGCATCTTCAGAAGTGCTTTTCAAGAAGGCATCAATTTATAAGCAGCTCAAGTGTGGCCTTCAGTAAATCCTCATTAACTGAGTTTGAGAGGGCGTTTTGTTGTCAATGTCGTTCCTACTGCAACAGTGCCACTGGAAAGACAAGATCCATCACTGCTGACACAACTCACTTCTAAAATAAATACTGTGGCAGAGGCCAGGAAGATCTGTAGGCATCTCTAAAACACCCTTTGAGTTCAGAGCAGATGTTGCCAGTGTTTACACTTTTTAAACCGTTGGGATATAAACACCACTGAAGTTTTGCTTTTCTTCTCTTCGTTTTGTGTGTGTTTATTTTAGTGTTAAAAATGTTAACTTCCAGAATAAGGAAAATAGCAACAGATGTTTAACCTAAACAAAAACTGCTCCAGTGGAGTGTATTCCTCAAGCTGTTCTTTTGCTTTTGAACTATTAAAGCTAAGATCTGGTTAAATAACAATTACCTGGAAAGAATATTCCATAAATATCAGGCATAATTACAATGCATTGAACTAATGAGCCAAAACTACAGAGCAACAAAACTTAGTGAACAGAACGCTCAGAAAGATGCATTATGTAAATAAAGCTTCGCATGAAATTTCATGGTCTTCATCAGAAGTTACCAAGGGCTTCCAAAGAAAACACTAATTACTGCAGAGAGCAGTGAAAAAGTTAAGGGAGCCTGAAATGAAAAAGGATCCTGAAAGCTTTTTTTTTTTTTTAAAGAGTTTTCTTGCTCTAACAAAGAAAGCATGGCATAAGAAAGCAGTTGGGAATTCAACTTCACAGAACTCCAGCTCTGTATTTTTCAGCTCAGTCTTTTGTAAAAGAGCTTAATCTGAATGAATATATACATATTTGTGCAGGAAAGAAAAAGCAGGAAAAGAGGAGAAACAAAGACATTAAAAGTAGAACAGGGAGCCCCTCCACTTCCTGAAGGGAAGAAATGTGGCCATGCTGGTTTAGGGATAGAAGGGACTGTAATTTCCAAAGTGAGATTCAGCTGCCTGCCTTCTGGCCTGGCCTTTTTCTGAGCGGAGATATCTCCTTGGCCTGTGTACGCTCCTCATTGTTTCTTTCCTGACAACTCCAGCAAGTTTATTTTCTGAACGAACATGGAAAGCGTTCCTGCTGAATCAGAAAAAAAAAAAAGCAAAGCAAAGCTTTTCGCGGCGCTGGTGTGTGGCTACAGCAAAACCAGCCCCGCTGCCAAGCCGAATTAGCTCAGTGGTGCCTTTCAGTGCAGGCAAAGCCAAGCCATAACCGCTTCTCGCAGCCGCACGTAGAGAGAACTCGCGCACACGAACGAGCCGATTCTGCCCTGCCGCCTCAGGCACGGCCCGGCGGGGCTCTGAGGGCCGGCAGGGGAGGGCAGCGAGCCCCGGCCCCGCCGGACACAACGGGCCGGGGCTACGGCCACGGGGGACACTCGGGGACACGCCGGGCAATGGCCACGGCCCCGCGGGACACGCCGGACATTCGGCCCCGGCCGGGCCCACGCGTGTCCGGCCGCGGCCCAGCCCCGCGGCGCCGCGACAGACGGACAAACCCCAGACGGACAAACCTCCGCCTTTAGTGCCAGCAGGGAGAGGGAAGGGAAAGTTGGCGCTGAAAACGCGGATTGTGGAGGGGGAAAAAGAAATAAAATGAAGAAAAGAACAGAAAAAAAAAAATCACAAAGAAAGAAAGAAATCTCTGCCTTGTAACAAAGCTCTGACAACAGCCTGCGGGGCGTCCCGCACCGGCGATCTCCAAAAACATCCCCGCTAACAAACAACAGCGAGCCCGGCTCCGAGAAGGATCCATCCCTGGGAGGGATCCATCCCTCCCCGTGCGAGGGATCGAGGGATCCGTTCCCCCCCGTGCCAGGGCACCACTGATTTCCCGCGGCCAGGCGCTGTTACCTTCGTAGCACAGGATGCCGATATTGTTGTTCATCTTGTCCAAGTACTGGTAGTTCAACAGGTCCATCCTCATAAACAGCATTTATCGGGCTGGCGGAGACGAGCGGCTCCGGGAGGGGGAGGCAGACGGTGCCGAGGCGCTCCCGGCTTCCAAAGCCCAGCAGAGGCCCAGCCTGGAGCGGGTCGGGAGCGGGGAGCGGGCTCCGACAGCCCGGGGAACGCGAGGGGAACGCGCTGCGGGCCGGGGGAAGGGAGCAGCGCGGGGGCTTCTTCCAAGTTTTTTTTTAAAAAATAACAACAATAATAATTAAAAATAAGAGCGTAAAAGCAAAGCGAAGGCGGCGGGGCAGGGCAGGCAGGGAGGAGGGCGCAGCCTGCTGCGAGCGCCGGCGCTGACAGCGGCAGTGGCCGGCACTGCCCGCCGGGCCCCGCTCCGAGCCCGCTGCCCTCAGAGCCCGGCCCGCCCCGCGCAGGCGCTGCCGGCGGCCGCGGGTGCTTTGTGCTCCGCAGGGCCCGGCGGGGAGCGGGGGAAGGAGGGGGGGCACGGCCGCGTCAGAGCCGCTCGCACAGGAAACAGCGGCGGCAGGAGGAGGAGGAGGCGGCGGCGAGGGGAGGAAGCGGCGCTGAGGGGCCTCCTCCGGGCACGGGCGGGTGCTGAGGCTGCTGTTTGAAACTAATTCTGCCTCTGTGCGCTCCCCGGCACGGCCTCAGCGCCTCACAGCGAGGAGTAATGCGGTGCTGCAGCAACAGCAGCCATGGAATCGCGGCCTGGCATGGCAGGAATGAGACATGGAATCACAGGAATGAGAGAGACAAAATAAAAGGCGTGAGGCAATGGCCATTGCGCCGTGTACATAGTTTATATATAAATAGTTTTAAAAGGTTTCTCTCTCTCTCCATATAAACAGGCATCGCACACATTGCTACAGTTCCATCAGGGCACAGCCAGATCGGATTTTTTAAGGGCTATTAGTGGTTAAACATTCCGGGCTCTGGCTCTTCAGCAGCTGCCGAAGCTCCGGCTGAGGTGACAGAGGCGGTGGAGGCTGGTGCTGCTGCAGCTCTCCCATCCCAGGATCTGTGCTGCCCTTCTGCAGCTCTCCCATCCCGGGATCTGTGCTGCCCCTCTGCAGCTCTCCCATCCTGGGATCTGTGCTGCCCTTCTGCTCTCCCATCCCAGGATGTGCCGCTCTTCTGCAGCCCAGAGCTCTCAGACAGATGTGTGCCACTCATCCTGACACAGCACAACAAACATCTGGGCAGATGGCAATGGGTGCCAACCCAATGGGCATCAGCTCACGTTCCCTGTGGCTCATCAGCACCTGACTGATATGAAAAGAGAAATTTAAAAAGCTAATAGAATCCTAATTTTCCCTCTGCCCTCTTCAGCTTGGAGCACAGCTCATCCCTGCCCGTCTGGGATGGGAAATCTTCATGGTGTAGTAAAAAACTTCCATTTCCACCCTGAGAACTTCTCCCCTCAGGAAGGGGAAGGGATGGCAAGACAGAAGCAACTCACAGAGTGACCCTTTGTTATGGCATTTTGAGAATCACTGCTTGAAAATGCTCTGGGTATTTCAGTAAGAACAGGTAGCTTAAGTTTACTGCTGGTGTCTACTGAATATTGTAAGGAAGATTGCCTAGAACATAAAAAAGGTTTCTCCCCACTTCAGATACACAACGCTGAGGTAACAGTACATTTCTTGAATAAAAAGTTGCAGTTGTTTTGCAATAGTTGCAACTACACAGACCAAAGCAGCCCTTGCTGTTTTCTAGAAAGAGAAACATTTTTAATAAAGAGTAGTGTGTGGTGATTTTTAAGCGGGGCATGAGGAGTTTTGCATACTGTGCATACTCAGATATTCTACACCAATCCATCAAATTAAAACAGCCATCTAATAAAGACATCAAGGGAAATCTGAGCCCTCTAAGATATAAACAACAACAAAACCCCACACCTACAACATTAAAAAAAGAGAGGCACGTTTCTTCAGCATGAAATGCAAGTTCCTCACCAATTTTGGGGACAATATTTTGATATGTACAGTTTATATCACAGAGAGCATCCCTGAATTCACAGGAATGCAACACATGTATTGGGTGCTTGGGAAGGACAAGAAGAGAAGTATTTGATTTTTTCACTTTAAAATACTTTGATTTTTGTGGGAGGTGCAGGTGATGAGGAAGAAAACACCATTTAAACTCCTTTAGAGCAGTGTTCTACGAGACAGGGGTGCACATGGGCATTACAATCCCCAGTCCAATTTGAATTCTCTATATTCAAAGTTATAGATTTCTTCAAGCTGTTTGGAAAAGCGTGCTTGGGTGCTGTCCAGAAACCACTGACTACTCAGGAGTGCTGTCCAGACACTAATAAAGGAGTTAATTCTTCTTTATTAGACCAGCAGTCACTGGTGTGCAGGTTTTTAGGCATTATTAGGTGAATGGCTTTCAGCATTTCAGTACAAAACTCTGATTGGACTTGTCAAATGTTGCATAACAAGCATGCTTCACAATAAATAATAATAAAGTCTACCAAACACCGAGAGCTTTTTGAACTTCTAAATTAAAATATCTTCTAAATTAAAATATCTATGCTGCAAACAAGGCAATGCCTAGTGGAAGAGTGAGGGGGAATTATCAATGTAAACATTGCATTTTAAACCCAAAATCCATTCTTAGGAAAACTTTCTTTGACAGAAAATTTTATCAGCTCAACAAACCCCAGTCCAGCAGACATTAACCTCAAATGCTGACAGGGTCACTGTAAAGTACTTGGTTCCTGTCAGCAAATTCTCAATTCACATTGCTGCTCATCACTCTGAGAGACCTCGCACTGAACTGAAACCAATAATCAGCAGTGGCTGGCAAAAAAAGGCTGTTTGTCATCAGCTCCTGCTACATCTCGATAGCTGCAAGCACAGAGCTGAGCTGAGGCATCTCTGCCTCTCCCTGCCTGCAGAATTTCCTCTAGGATCGCACCCTCCCTGCTCCTGGAGTGAATCCCAGCCCTGGGATCTGCTGGGCACGCACTGCACTTGAATTTAACACAACAGCAGCCTCTAGAGGTAACGGGAAAGGCACGGCTCGGGTGGGATTGACATGGGATTTATTCTGATTATCCCGCAGGGCAGGGCAGAGCCTTCAGCCCCTCGGGGATCTGCCTCACTTCAGCTCAGAAAGCAAATCCAGTCTGCACACAACAACCTCAGAACACACAAAAAGCAAAGCAAGGAAAGCAAAGAGAGCAGGTGAATCACCACTGTAAATCGCCACTTAATATAAAAGTAAACCCTTACAACTCTGTATTGTTCACCTGGATTTTTGTAGGGAAAACTCTTAATATATCGAGTCTGGGATACCAGATTCGACAGTGAGTTTCTATGGGTTTGAGAGCACTTGAACAAGCACTGAGCTGCTGTAGAGCATTACAAACATACAGGGAGCTGCTTTTTTCTGTGCCTTTTCTCTGCCCTCTCCTCTCTCACACGTGCTGCTGCCTCAGGCAGTGCTGAAGAGCCTGAGAAAATCAAATTCCTTTGGTGCCTGCACTCCACAACAACTCCCAGGGGGCAAATGGGCAACACTGGCTGAGAATCAACCCCACAGATGGGAGACAACTGAAATTGCACCCATGGAGATCATCAGCAGAGAGCAACTATGGAAACAGTGACCAGTTCTGCACCTGAGAGGAAAAACAGTCTTTGTAGAGGTGGGACACACTCTGCTGTGTCTGTGTGGCCCCACAGTGCTGCTCAGCATAATCCCAGTTCTGAATGGAATCTCTATTATTATTTTTGAGTCAATAATTATCAGCTGCAGCTCCTCAGGTCAGACAGGCACCTACTGGAACCTCAATGCACACTGAGGAGGAGGTGGAGGAATAAAGCAAGAACAGTTAAAAACAGGTTTTACCCTTTTCCTTGCCCTAGGAAAAGAGCAAATTGGAGTTGAGGGTTGCTAGGTGGCGATGAAGGAAAAGGCTTTTCTTTTTCCACGCACTCCATGGCAGTGGGTGGGAAAAGCTGCTCTCAAAACCCCTGTTCTTCTATTTGTCAGAGTGCACTGCACAGGAAAAAGGCAAACCAAAAATTCCCCTTGAAGCAGGATGGGGTGTTTGCTTTGAAATCCATTCATGTGTGATGAGGAAATACAGTTCGAATGGACTGAACACACAGCAAGGCCAGAAATGGATGACAAGAAAAATGACATTTCAGGTTCCTTACAAGCAGCAATCTCCCAGCTGTGCCTCTGAGATCCACAAACACAGCTCTGCCCTCAGTGAGTCACATACCACAAAAATAACTTTACACACTCCTTACAAAGCATTAAGCACTCAATGAACAGACAATATCAAAACACACATTATTCCCATGTGCATTCTTCCACTTCTTTTCCCTAATCATAGTTGCATTGCAAATGGATTTTAATCACACCCAACTACCCGTTCCCTTAAAATAAATCAATAATTAAAGAAAGCCCCATCAGGTAGGGCATCTCTGAGGCCAAGCTGGTGCCTTCCTGTTTCACCTGTCCCCTGGTTAAAGGTTTCAACCAAATGTGCCAGCCATTAGAGAACACAAAAAATACACTTTTAATTATCCCTGGAGCTCCTCAAGCCTGAAATAGGAAACTTACACTCAATATTGTAACAAAAGAATTTGTGTATCCTATCCTTCTTGTCATAACCTAAACTTAGGGAATGCTGCTTAAAAACCCCAAACACTGCATTATCTAGTGAGGTAACCTGTTAGTGAGTGTGTGAGTGCCACAAAGTGCTGGGTAACTCCCACTGGCATCCCCAGAGAACAACATGCCAGGAAAACCCAAAATACAGAGATGCCTCAGAGTGCCTGGAGCTGAGGCACTTGTAGGGCCCAGGAAGAGCTGGGAATGGCTTGTCTGGACTGGTAGATTCTTTATTTAAAATTTCTTTTTAAATTTCTTTTTAATTTTTTCTTTGAAATGCCTTCTGTACTGCAATTCTTATTCTGTACTGCAATTCTTATTCTGCACTTCAGTTCTTACTCTGCCCTACTCACCTCTTTAAAGACACACGGATTTCAAACAGCATCTCACCGTGGTGGTAAATAAAAACTTCACCGTGGTGGTAAATAAAACCTTCAGATCGCTTGTTGGTAAATATTGAGTGATTTAGGACCAGCTATTTCATACCAGATCAGAAAATCCCAAGGTGTTTATCAACTCAGAAAGGTTTTGGTTCATGAAAACCTGCCCTCAGCAGCAGGGATCATTTGCCTCCCACCCCAAACTAAACACACCTGTTGTCCTTCCACAGCCTTTTCCAGGGGGGAATTTGGGCCAGGAAAGGCAGAATCCAGGGCAGGGCACACACAGAGCTTC